CCACCAACTCCGCGGTAACTCTAGGTAACTCCTGTCTCATTGAGCTGCACTACATTTTTCGCCCAGCGGAATAACTCTTGACCACAAAACGTTTATTTATAGAACTGAGAGGGCTGTCAGTTTTAATGTTTGTGCACAAGCTCTTTGGCAGGCTTCCCGAAAACCAGCAAAAAAGTTTCAGTGCCAATGAGACGCGGGAAATGGCACTTTTTCTCGTTTTTCCCATAGAGCCCCATGTATTAGCTGGTGTCAAGTGATGGCTGCCTGTGGTGCCACTCGACCCCAGCAAGATAAGCCTATATAGCGATCTACCCTACTACAATAGAGATCAATATGACTTCCACCGCTTCCACGACGTGCTGGAACAGAGGGTGCGATGGTTATAAAGTCAGCACCAACCCTTAAACATGCCCCCTCCTGCAATATTTGATGCTACGATTGTGTCTGGATACCTCCCCTTGCGTTCCGAAACAGTAAGTGCGTCGCTAACGCTGACCATCGGCGATGCAGCAGACGCCGCCATCTTGTCCTCGCCTTTGGGTAACCTTCGCTCGGTGTTCGCACACCACGCGAAGGTCATTGTACCATTTAATGCCTGAACCACGATCGTTGCACATTAAAGAAATTCGCCAGTTTCGTCCGCATTTGGTCAACACTTTCAGCCGCGCTAGCTGCAAAGTCGCGCCGATCCCCAATATGAGCGATTAGACTTTTTTCCCTGGGAAGCATTCCTTTTGCCTTAATTCGGGGACTAAAACATACAGATGCACCCTGTATTAGGAGGGTTAATGGCTGCTTTTGCTCGCGCACGCCTCTCGGTTAGTCCCGGTCGAGTGCAGTTAGGGCTCAGCATTTGTCGCGACTCCAGCGAACTATAGGGGGCGCACTGGTCAGGCAAAATGGCGGACGAAAGGAGATCGTTTTCGTCGTTCAGCACGCGGGCCATAACTTTCTTGCACTGCAGCGTAAAATCGGTGTTATATATAAAAACAAAGCCATTATTCAACTTTACAAACCTTCTTCTAGTCAATGCGTAGGAATGACACGAGGGAATATTACTGTAAACGATATTTGTTTCTATGCCGCCTACGAAAACCAAACAGCGATAGCAAACGACAGAGTCGAAACGACCTCCTCTCTTGAGCTTCTCGACGTTGCCACTACGCGGCGCCGATTTCGCTGGAGTCGCTAATAGTTTGAACCAGATGGTCTCTTCGGGGACACAAATGGGAGTTCAGAGGACAAAATGCTGCCGTTAGTCCTTTGAGACCATCTTTTTTCTTAGAGGTAGCGTTGCACACACAAGCGTCAAGTATATTTAAAAAAAGAACTTGGTAAATGCTCATGTTACAATTCTATCTTGAAGTAAAACACTTGCAATAAAACTGCGGCTAGCATACATATGATAAACCACAATATTCTGATGACTTTTTATTCAAATTCAAGATTCAGCAAGGATACTTGTGTATTGTGGGAAAATTTATAAGGACTTCTCTTTAATATTTTGTTTATATCAACTCGATGGTTTTGTTATTACCTTTTCATACGTTCCATCTCTGCGATATCACAGTGAAGGGAGTAAATTAAAACTCAGCTGGATGAGTGGATGGATATTTGGCAATAATCTTAACGAGTTCGACTGGACTGTTTCTAAGGCTTATTTATTGTTCGCATGCCGATTTTTGTTTACAAAAGCACTCTAAGCCCAGCGGATAGAACAGGTACTCTCCTTCATTACGGGCGTTGATTCTTTCAGATCGCAGATAGAAATGGCATCAGCGGTGTATGAGTGATCAAGTCTTCGGAATTTTAACTTAGATGATGCTCTGTCACATATAGGGCTCGCACTCACTGCATCCGCCGAGCCCTCAACAGACGCTTCTACGTTGAGGGCTCGGTGGATGTTTGTGATGGTTCCCAGGCGATCATTCGACACTGGTTCACCACGTGGCACTTGCGCGATATGAATCGATTGACCTATTCTGGCCCCAAGAAACGCATGTGAACTCCTTCAAAAGCTATATAGACGCACCAGGAGATGACGTTTTGGTGTGGACTTGAGTTCCATTCCGTGTCAGTGCCATCAATCATCCCCTATTTGCCTTCTAGTGTTTTCTTTTTTCCTTCAACAACTGTCCGCGCTGTAGTCGCTTCCATACTAAATAGCTATAATTAAATGCAGATTTGGACTCAGTGGAGTCTAGGCAGCTTTAGTACGTCGGAGTGTAACAAAAATAAACGTTGACCACCAAAATTTCAACGCCAACGGCGTTCTCACTGTTCAACAGAGACATACTAAATGAACGCTTATGCTGAGATGAAGTGGTGCTGAAGAAAGAAAAGCTGTATTCCTTTTTACATGAACAACGACTATAACGACACCGGAATATTTCTGAAATTATCCCAGGTTTTAAAATACTTATCTAGCGCTGTACATGTACTAGCCAATGAGAAGCTTCCTTCGTGTTCACATCTTGTAAAGGAAGTAATGTACACACCATCGGCAACATGATGATGGCGTTTCTTGCGCTAGATCTTCATAAATGTAACCTACGAACGGAGCAAGACTTGTCTAAAAATGGAATGGATATACCTTTCTACATGTAAAGGTGAAGTTTGTAAACGAATCTAGAAGACTTGTATTTAATTTCTAAACAGTGCACAGCATGAGCAAAGTGGATCAAACCCATTTTTTTAACTAGTCTGCATAGATTGCTCTCATAAAAGGTGCTGTAATCTAATCAGAAGATGCGACTTGACTGCGCGTTTGGAACGAAAATATTACAAATTATTACAGAAAATGATTTTTTTTTTTTTTTTCAAGTCACTGGAGTGAAAAAGGTTGCCGCGGGTCGTTGGTTTATTTCATTTGGCAACACAGAGAACAAGATCAAAGTAAACAGGGCTGTCTTCACTCACTTTTCAGATGTTGCTATAAAGAAAGTCGAGTTGCCCAATAACTCGACGCTCTGGAATCTTTTCTTTTATTGAGGCTGGCTCTACCTTCGGTATTTTGACAAGGTAAAATCATTATACCCTTTTGCAGGTTAAGAAAACAAGCAGGAAAAAAGATTTTGTGCGAGTTTTGTACTGTTATCTTAACCTGCAAAAAGTAAAGCTAATTTTTTTTTTATGGGAAACCACTTTTTTATTTATTTTTTTATACTTATTTAAAGCAAGTTTAATTCATTCAGCCCACAATAGTGAGTGAGTGGAGTGTCTGGTGTACAATTCTAGACTCAGGACGAGTTAAGCCCTCCGCGAACCTTACTTGTTGTCTGAATAGAACGTATTGATGAAATACAGTTCAGTTTGACTATTTATTTGGACCGAACTTTCTAGCGGTTTATTTTTGGCGTTTGGTCCAAATCAAAGCCTGAATCCTTTTAAATTTCCCTCCATAATTTTTCTTTCTTTTCTACCGGAAATCGATATTTTGAAAACTGGAACCTCAAGAAACCAATTTCATACTAGGGAATTTGAGTATATCGTTTCGACAACTCCGAAAATCATACTCGATACGTTGACGGCATCTTAATTTCCACATGCATCGTAACATTACCGGAAATCTCAGTATTGGAGCTCAACAACAGTCTACTAGAAGTTTAGAACTCCCTACTTATTCCCGCAGCAATTACGGCGACCTTTACTCTTTTTCTTTTTTCTTTTTTTTTTTCGGTCTTAACTTTTGCTTTGAAATTGGAGTAGGTATTCCCCTGCTCTCGTGAGCGCAGGCGTCACAGAAAAACATACAGCCCATGCAACAAGTGTCTGTGATGTATACCTTAGAGGAACTTGCATTAAAAGATGCGTCAAGAGCGGCCGCTGATGCTGGATTATCATTCCTTACGTAAGCGCAGCTGGTGACGTTACTAAAAAGGTACAATGAAATAAAGGCGATTATGGGGTGATGACGGAGAGGATACATATTTCGATTCGTGAGCGAAACTGCCCATTAGATGAAAGAGACCCTTACTGTCCACGAAAAGTGAAATACTCTCTGAAAGTGTGGAACTAATACCGGGTATTAAAGCTTGACCCTCTTAGCAAGAAAAACGTGACGAGACCAGCGATGGAAGCGTAATTTAGATGTTCTACTGAACGAAATATGTTGCATATAAATTCTTCGACGTTAGAAGTGTTTCAAAAACACGCTCACTTTACGGAACAAAAATATATAAACAAATACGGAGGCGACTTCTGATTACATGCAGCACATTATGCTTAACAGAATGCATGCCAACTCGACGTAACATTTTATTTATTTATTTTTGCCTCGAGGTGTCTGGCATCGTTCGAGTTTTCTGGCGGGGCCCGCATAAAAATGGAAGATTCCCGGGACTCAAGTTTGTCCCAAAGTTGCATCTTGCGCGGCGACGGCTGAGTAAGATCTCTAACGATTCCGTGAATCGTGATGAAAGCTCGCGGCGCCGAAGCCGAAACACAGGAAGGAAGCCCGCACCCTAAGTGGACAAACCGTTAGGCCAGCAATTTTTATGTGTCGGTGCCCAGATATGAGCTGACCCACTCAGCTGTTTCCCAGAAGAAACCTGACCGAGACGCGAGCAATGTCATTCCCCTCCTCCTCTACCAACAGACGCGCGCGGTGTCGCGTCACGAAACAAAAACTTCCGAATGACGCCGAGTCGAGCGCGAGCAATTAATGCTTTATTTTGCCGGGATCCCGAGAAGCGGCACACCTTTCCATTGACTGCGCTACCGGAAAACCCATTAGCCGCCGGCCATCTTGGATCGATCCCCAGGCTCCTCCGTGCAGCCTCCGCCCCTCACGTACTATACCCATACTCTCCGCGCGACCATCCTCCTTGCCGGCTCCTCAGACAGACTCTCCGTGACGTCACGGAGGTCACATGACGGCGGAAAAGGAGAGACGATGCGGAGGACGGGGAGGAGGGATGGTAGTATTTTATGCGTTTGTGTTTCCACCCTGGTGAGGAGGACGGAGGAAGGCACGACCGAAACGGAAAAAGAGAAAGAAAAAAAGATACGAGTGCCGCGGCACTAAAAGTTGACTCGCGGGTCCGACTTTATCAAAGTTGTCGGAGGAATCGTCCGCCTGCTATCGGGTCCGCACCGGTGTCGTCTGCTTCCCTGGCAGTTACCGTCCTACGATTCTTGAGAAACGTTCGTCCCACTGCGGTCGCCAACCACTAAATCGTCTTCAATTTCGCTCTTTCTGAGTTCGAATTTTCTACGCTCAGCAAGCTCTGAGTGAAAAATTGAGGCAGCATATTCTATTCTTTCTTGCACGAAATCTTCGTCGAGTCCGTCCGTTGCCATCTGCCGTTGGCATTTTTTTCTGATTCTGTCTTCTGGACCTGTAGTCCAGGAAGGTTTTCTTCCTCCCGTCCACTCGGTGAGCCTCCACTCTGTCCGGCTACAGACCTCTTAAGATGGGCCGCGTTCGCCAATTCCGTAACTTATGCGGCATCGACGAGGTGTCCGCCTCCAGCACCCTATGGAAATCGATGGTCGCTGAATACATCGGCACCGCAGTCATCGTCTTGATCGGCTGCGGCTCGTGCATCAACTGGGGCTCACCCACGAAGCCGCTGGGGGAAGCCACCATGGTCCAGATAGCCATAGGCTTTGGCATCACCGTGGCCACCATGGCCCAAGCCGTGGGTCACGTCAGCGGAGCCCACTTGAACCCGGCCGTCACGATGGGCATGCTGTTCGTCGGCAAGGTGTCCATCTTGAGGTCCTTCTTCTACATCTGCAGCCAGCTGATCGGCGGTATCACGGGAGCCGCGATCTTGAGAGCGGTGACTCCCGATGCCCGTCACGGTGCGCTCGGAGGAACTGGCCTTGCCGAGGGAGTCACTCCGCTCATGGGCCTGGCGGTCGAGGTATGCATCACCTTCATCCTGGTGCTCACCGTGTTCTCCGTCTGCGACACCAACCGACTGGACGTCCAAGGGTCTGCACCGCTGGCCATCGGACTCTCGGTGACCACGTGCCACGTCTTTGCGGTGAGTCCTCTGAGGTCTTTTGGTTTGGCTCTCAACCTAACATCGCGCCCATCTCGGCAGCAGGGCCCCTGACCTCGCCCTGCTACTGAAGATGCATTTCGTAAAGATACTGGCGCTGTGTGTTGTTGTGCTTGCACTTAATGATGTATTGCGTCTCGTTTCATTTTTTTACACAATGTTTATCGTTGCTTTGTCGACGATGCGCGCGCGTGTTTTATATGAAATAAAAGGAGGGAAGAAAAAGGTTAAGCTAGTCGGAGAGGTTTACTAAAGCGCCCTTTTACCAAGATACGCGAGGAGGCTTCAGTTCACAGAATCGCCAGTGGATTCTTGAATCGACAAAATATTATCGCATGGCTAATCAACCGCGCCTATCAACTGCTGAAGTATACTTCAGCAGTGCTCCAGAGATAAGTATATAGAAATACGAAATTTATTCTAGGAAAGAATAAAACTACTTAGAACACATTAAAAATAGAAGTAAAATTTACTCCAGATGTTTCGTAAAGCAGCAAAAACGTAGGAAGTCGATTGGACTCATAAATGAAGAATATATCAAAAATTCTAGCTCGTCCGTTCATTAATTTTTCAATTTTCCGTGTGCTTATGGATTAAAATGGAGCGCACATAAGCTCATTGTGAAAGAGAAGGAAAATGCAATCAACGAATTAAATAAAGACTGGGAAAAACATTTGTAAAACGAAAACGGGACACTCCGATTTCGAGACTCCATAGTGAATCCATAGTGAATGAGGTCACGAAGATTATTCCTCCGACTTGACTTTTCTGTGTATTTAGTTGAGCTGATCAGTCTCATAAGCGTAAATGGCGCCCGTGTAGTTTAATCTTACTCATACACACTCGTGGAAGAACAAGTTCTTTCGCTTGTAGCTTCCGTGTTTAAAATTAAAATCCTCGCTAAGGAGAGAGAAAGGAAAGAAGAAAAAAAATGTAAATATATTATAAATGTCCAGCAGTGCTCGCAGCGAAGTTATATTGTAAAACGCGTTCGTTGCCGGTTCCTAGGGAATCCAAGGATTGGTTCCCGTATAATTTGTTCTTCCGTTTCAAAACTGATTTCTATTTTTTCTTGTTTATTTTTTTTAACGGCCGAAGAATACCCAAAAATTTCTCTTTTTTTTTGGCGATGTAGTACGCACAAACAAAAATCCCGCTCTAGGAGACCATCACAACCATTTTGAGCGCAGTATATATATATATATATATAATCGACCAGAATACAACGATAAAAAAAAAAGATTAAAAAACGAGTTTTTTTAATCTCCATTTTTCTGCGTTATGTGAGTATTACTGTCGAGGTTTCCGCACTTTTTTTAACGTCATTAAGCTAACACTTAAATTTAAAAAAAAAAAATACTAGATGGCATCTCGAAATGTTTTCCACCCCCGTCAGGAGCGTCCAAAGAGGCTATGCCCGACAGCCGCGCTAATAAAAACGCCACTCCTCGGTACCAGATAGCGCCTCTTCCGTGACCTGGATGGGAGAACAGCGTCGTAACGAGCCCATCTGCCTTAACGTGGTGGACCAATACTACCCCGAAGACAAGGCCTCCGCGGATGACATCATCGTTGGTGGACCCAGAGATCCTAGGTGGATCCCCCGATCGACCCGCCCCATACGGCAAACACGCCGAAGCTCGATGAGAGTCACCGCCTTGTGAGACGCTGACGCAATGCAGGCGGCGCTGTGTGGGTCCACTAGCAATGACGTTGAGGGTGGGAAGGAGGCGGGCCTTCTCTTCTATGAGGTATTGGGTGGACACTCGACCAGCCACAAACCCTGGCCTCCCTTTCCCCTCCCGCTGGTTACTTTGAAGAGGAAAAAAAAAAAAAAAAGCGTTAACAGGAGTTACGCGAACGTTTTTCAAAGAGCCGATTTTGGCTGGGCTGCCGTCCGTTTGCCAGAGGACGGAAGTAGCCCGCCGCGTTGACCGTGCGCCCGAAGGCGGACCCGCGCCTCACTACTCCGTTCGCCCATCAATTTGGCCCGAAAATTGCTTCTCTCGTCGTCCGAATGAAGAAGCCTCCTCCGGGGAGTGCAAAGCATCCTGTTCTCGGGCGCGCGCTGTGCACTGCACGCGGCCGCGCGACCGTGCACGGCTGCGTGCCCCGTGGCGCTACGGAGCGGCCAGTCGCCCGGCGGATGCTGGAGCGCAGCAGCGCCGGTCGGTCGAGCATCGATCAGTGACATGAAAGCGTAGCCGAGCCATACGTTGGCAACGCCTTTGTACGTTCAACTCGCTCGTCCGGCTCTTTTGGGGGAGGGGGGTGCTTGGTTTGGTGGTTGTGGTGGTGGGGGGGGGAGGGACAGAAGCGCCATGAATCCTGGCGCCCAATGCGAAACGAGTCCAGTTCGAGAGCAAAAAGAATGCGTGTGCGCATCGGTCGCGACTGCGTGATCGCCCGAACCGGTCCGGCGTGGCTTCTCTTCTTCTCCTCGACATCCCTTCGCCCCAGACGGAATGCTAGCCAGAGGGGGGTCCTGTGAAGAGGGGAGGAGAAGGCCCCGTGTCCGGCGTCCAATTGCCCGTTATAATGGTCTTAGCAGCGCGCGCCGCCACCCACCAGCGCAAAAAGAAAGAAAGAAGAAGAAGAAAAAAAAAGAAGGAATGCTCGACAATGTGGGAACAGAGCTGTTCCACCCGGAAAACGGCTCCGACTCGTCGCCTAATGTGCGAAACCGGGATCTGGGTTAAACATCGATGGACGTCTGGAGAGAAGTGGGGAGAGGATCGACGGAGTGGCCGGGAATAAAGAGGGACAGCGTCAGGTGACTCTACTATTTGACGCCGCGAAGTCGCGCTGTCACGTGACACGACGCGTACCGCCGAGGAAGGTGAGGAATCTTCTGATTCAAGTAGTTTTTCACTGGCGGACCGATGCTCAACTCGGACCTGCGAGAACGGAACTCGGTTCATAAAGTTATTTCTTTGTTTTCGGAAGCCTCATAAAAGCGTTTGCAGCATATTGAGGTAAAAAGTTCGAAAATAGGGCATTAAAATTGGCTCCGGCAGCGGTGTTTTTGCATCGGGCAGAATGGCAGGAATGAATGGAACAAAGCGCAGAGACTGGCAGAAAGAGACCGCCCCGCACACCGAGGAGGAGGCATCGAACGAAATCTGTCGCGCGCCTCGAGCCCGATGCGGTCCCAGACGTTTGAGAGCGGCGTCGCTGTCGGTGCCTTATCTTAGCACACTATCGGATTACGCTGGCGTGACCTCAGGATGAGGGGAGGACATCTTGCGTGAGTGTTGCTGCCCGACCACGTGGTTCGTTCGTCGTCAAGGGTGCACTGTGGCACGCGCCACACCTCTGCACCGGACCCGTATGCCTTTTCTTTTTTTCTTCTTTCTTTCTTTTAGGCGTGTACACGCACAAATGCGACAACAAAAAGAAAAAAGAGACATCATACGTGAGGAAGACAGGTGACACGACTTAGACCGGAATCGTAAGCGGTCCACGCCCATCCCTCGCGATCTACGGCCTTCTTTTACCGCGACAATACGGCCTATCAAGATAGTTTATTTAGCCACGGATCCAGGGATAACAAACTCATTTTTTGTTATCCGTGGTTGTAGTACCACCTCCTCCTCCCTCCCTCCCTCCCTCCCTCCCCCCCCCCCCCCCCCCCCCCCGGTTAGCGGAATCTGCGTTTAACGTCAGCTCCCCCCCCCCCCCCCATTTTTTTTTCACCCTCTTTTCACAAAAACAAAAACAACAAAGATACTGACACCCCACCTCGTCTCCCATTTTTCTTTGGTTTCTCTACCCGATCTCTCAGTATTGTTGCCGTTCTGGTTTCGTGTCGGCTTTACGCTTTGGGGTGGAAGGACCCGTACTCCAAGACCGTGCAAGCAAACGACCGTCAAGCGAAATCGGAGACGTTAGTTCCGCAGAATCCGACTCCATGAACGACACTTTAACCTCTCCGGCCGAGTGCCTGACGCCCTGAGCCTCCAATTTTGCCAACCAGGAATCCTCTTGCTCCTTCTAACAGTTCTGACCTGCTGTTCCTATGCGACTCGCAAATATCAGGTGGGACGTTCAGGTTAACGGCATATGGTGGTCACTATCGGCTCGTTTCAAACGCGCTGAGCATGCCGCTTCCGTCTCCCTGCCTGTCATGACGCGAACGCTCGGTCAACTCTGCTATCTCAAACGATCGCACTTGGCAGGAGTTGGGAGTTTCTGCGAGATAACTATAGCTTTAGGTTGTATTTTTCTCCAGTAAACTTCCCCGCCTGCACAATGTGCGAGGGTCATTAAAATCTTCCCTCTTTGCCGCGTACTTCGCTGCACTAAGAGAGTGCAATTCTCGTCGCAGGGCAAGTAAATTAACTCGTAGCCGAACGCAAGGCTTTGGTAGCCTCTCGTCGCGTTTGCACACCTGATATTGCCATGTGTCAGGCAAAATGCGATAGGTGACCGATAACTCCTGATATAACACCGATGCGCTCAGAAACGAGGTGATAATAGCGCGCAAAAATGCGACTTTTTTCTAGAGATCATCGCCGCGCCTCCTTTCTTTCGCCACCTTTCTTTGATTTATGTATTTTTGTCGTGTTTTTTTTTTTTTTTCATCGCTCAAATAATCTTGAATAGCCACGAAACTGGCCAATATGAGGCAAAGTTCGTGAAACCATTTGACAACGCAACGAACAAACAAAAATTAAAGAAAGAAGAGAAAGAAAGCCGAAAAGTGAGTACACTTTTTTTTCCCCCAAGGAGACAGGTTCGGCAACATCGAGAGATGTGTAGAGGATCGCAATCGCGAAACATGTGGGATGCCGCAGAAAAAACAAAATTATAAGAAAAAAAAAATCGCAGAAAAGGAGTCACTAATGCTTACCGCTATCAGCGAAATTAGCGTCGATTGCTCGAAGCGGGACCAACGCCTTTCAAAACTAAAGTCCGGGACGACGTCTTCCTGGACCCTCCTCGCTTTTGATGACTACAAAAGAAAAAGAAAGAGCCAGAGC